GAGGCTACCTCCCTCCCAATGGCTCCTGCTCACAACAGCACATCCAATAAAACCATGTACTGCTGGAGATACTCTTCACCTGCACTGTACACAGTGCTCACTGACTACTGAGCACTTGGAATGTGGCTAGTGAGACTGAATCTTGCATTTGATTGACTTTTGACTAATATAAACATTAATTTAATTGGGCCTGCATGACCAATGGTTATCATACTGGATAGCACAGCCCTCAACCCTAGCTCTCTGCAGCCACAGTTAAAAAACTTCAGGCCCTGGAGCCTTTGCCCGCTTGAGTCATATTCTCCTCAATTCAGAGAATGAGCTCTTTCCAGGCCTGGTCTATATCTGTGATCCAAAACCCACCCCCAAGCACCTCCGAGATCTATGCAATGCTGTCATCATACCACCACAATACACACACACAACTCCCATCATCTCTGGCCCCCACGTTTCTGAATGTCCAGGTCAGTCAACCTAGCCAGAGTTCTGCCCACAGTTTTGATTTGGGTGTATGTGGTCCCTGGAGAAGCTGGGAGAGGATAGGCCCTGAAAGACACAGAAAAGTTCAGCCCTGATTGGCAGGCAGGAGGTCAAGGGCAGGTTGGCTGCAGCTGACTACAACTTATCCAGCAAAGAGAGGTGTAACTGTATGCAAAGAACATCGTCTGCTTCTCACCTGTGTCTATTCACCCAGCAACATGGTTACAGGTGGAAATGCTAAATATGAGTCAGATTAATTGTGGAACCCTAAACTCCACGTACAAGGTGTAACTGCAGAGAAATGAGACCCATTCCCTAAGTCCCTGGGGACATTCCATGACACCCATAGATTCCTTCCTCAGACCCTACCCTCAAATCATCACAGTTAAGGCTAATGTGACACTGCTAAAAATGCAGAAAGAAGTCAACGGGAGCACAGGGCAGGGCATACGGCTGCAAAAGACTAAGGCTTCTTAGAGTGGAGTAGGCCCTGATGAAAAATGACACCCAACTTAGGAATGGCTCTTCAGAGTAAGCCCTGAACTGTGTATTTGTATTTGGAAACACTCAAGTCATGAAGAAAAATGCACATAATGCCTTACTCCATCCTTGGGGCCCAGGTCCTCCACAGATAAAAGCTGCAAGGCTGCTTGAAGCCAAGCTCATGGAGGCATTTTGCCTTCTACTCTGCCACTCTGGCAGTGGTTTAAGGGTTTTTACCACCTTTAAAAGTAGTCCTGAGGCCAATACCCTCTGTATTTCCTGGGAGCAAGTTAGAAATACAGAATCTCTGGCCCCACCCAGAACTACTAAGTCAAAATCTTGAATCTTAGTGGAAACAAAATTCCCAGGCAGTTCTTCTGCATATGGAAGCTTGAGACTCAGGTACTATTTCCCAAGACAGAGGACATCTTGATCGTCATGAAGGAAGGAAGCAGGGAGTGGCCAAAGATGTCATTAACACACCAACATGGGGAAACTAGGTTGTGATCACACAATAAAACTTCAAGAAAATAAAAAAATGTAAGAAAACATTTTCTCCATGTTTCTAGGCACTTAGATACTTTAAAGAATAAAGAAAACTCACTTTTCAGGTGTCATAGTCACATACACTCCCCAAGTGGCAGTGCTTTCATTTTGGTCTTTTCTGACTTTCCATGTGAGTCAAGTGTCCCCTATTAGCCTTAGTGATGTTCTCATTGCAACCTCAATGGGGGTCTCTCAACATCTGGACTATTACCAATTTCAGCTATCTTTTATGTTTTCTAGGGTCGATTTCTTTTTAAATCTAATTCACCCAAACCACACATTTTTAGAAAGGTCCAAACAGACTTTTCCAAATCTTGCACACTCTGCCCAAGATCAATGCCTAAACTTTTCACTTCCTCATTGAAACTGAGGCTGTCAGGTGGGAATAAGTCCACTTCAGGACTATAGCCGGATCCTCCTTTTCACAGCTCTCTTACCAATTTATCATAAAATAGCATACAACACATAACATGAACAAAGCATGACGCACAAGAAAACTCAAAAAACAGAGTCTCAAGAGGAAAGCCAAAAGAAACAACAAAGTCTCATTTTTTTTAAGAGAAAAGGACTCTCAATCATGCAGAATGCATTCCAAGGGACTCTCAGCAGGTATTGAACTTAAAGCCCCCATATAATATGAGCCTAGGGAAACAGAACAGAGTGGACTGAGGGTAAGTAGAATCAGGCAGCCAGAAAAGATTGCCTCCAGGACCTTCCTCAAACCAGAGCCCCTCACCCCACCGCTGGCAGAATGTTAACAACATAGGCCTGGCAGTCCCATTTGACTGCTCCAGGAGAGACAATCAATTCTAAGCCTGTTGGTGGCACAGGTACTTACCCGGTCTGGACAGACAAACAGACGGACAGACAGACAGACAGAAAGACTAGGCTGAAGCCGGCACTACCCCCAAAACTCCTCCATGCAAAGTTAGCGAGGGACAGCCCCTGGAGGCACAGTCAGCACAACTCCCAGTCCTCCGAGACAAAGAAGCTCGGGCAGCTGCTAGGACTGAGTGGTGGCTCTGTCACCCACCAGGGTGGCCCCTGAGCTCCGAGCGAAGGGGATCCCAGACAAGCCCCCAAATTTGTAAGCGACCAAACCGGGTCTCTCGCTCGCGCCCAGAAAGCCAAACTCTGAATCACGAGAATTGTCTTTACATGAAGGAGTTTTATTCGAGACAGCCATCAAGGGAGTCGGTGGGATAGACACCCCAAAATAACCGGCTCCCTGAATGGCAGGAGTGCTGGGATTTTATAAGGGGCGAAGGAATGTGAGGGAAATCAGGACTTCACATTTCCAGGTCCGAGGAGGTGCCAGGCAGTCTAGGTGACAGGAGTCAAGGTGTTTGACTTTCCCAGTGGGGTGTTTTCTCAGCAATCAGCGGATGTTTGTTTCTGATGCCACTATCAACTCAGAGAGACACAGAGAATTTTATTAGGGTTGTAACACAATCAGTTTTCCAAGTTCCCAGGAATATAGGTGAAGACAGTTAACAGTTAATCATCAGGAAGGGACAGGGTGTACAACTGAGTAAACAGTAACAGTAACAGTAAACAGGACTGAAGAAGGAATGCAATTCATGGGTTAGAGTTTAATTCCTCTTATTCCTAACTTTTAGTCTAGGGATGTTTTCTACTGCAAAATGGAGGATCCGGCTACAGGACCACCCTATTCCCTGACCTGGCTGGTATTGGGCCCATGCCCTACTTTGTAATTACAGTAACTTGGGAATGCAGTCACACATTGGACAGAAGTGGCCGTACAAAAGCCACTTAAAAATATGTTCAATAATCTTACCTATTTTTCCCTCCAGATGGAACCTTTAGCCATAGAAGGGTTACTTTGACACAGCAGTTTTGTTAAGTTAAGGGGTGGGGGGGGCACTGAAATTCTGCTTGAAGAACAGCAAACCACTAAATTAACTTGGGAATAACTATGATTTTATCTATATAATATTTCATATTTCTTAATCTGGACAATATTTTTTTTCTCTGGTCAAATTTCCTCTTCTACCACCTCAGTCAAGTTGCTATGGGAGTTCACACAAGTCATAAGGTTGGGTTTTCTTCCAAACAAGGTTTTTATTATTGCAAATTAGGATAATTTTGTCTTCCTTTCTAAGATTATCATCACATCTCTGGTTCATGCCACCTGTTTCAGATGTCTAAGGCAACACTTGGTAATGATGGCTGCCGGACCCAGGAAACTCTGTTCTGAAAACACCTGATGTGGGAGAACCAGAGAACAGGCTGGCTCCCATACCAGCCATCTTCCTATTTCAAATCAAACCTTAAGGCAGGGCAGGTCCCATGCCTTCAGCCTATGCGAGCGGGGAGTTGGGGCTTTTCAAAGGGCTTGAGGTGAGTTGGCCTTTGGGGTCAGGCAGGCTGGTCTTATATCCTTCAGTAGGAGCCCAAAGCTGTTCACACAGCAGGATTCCTCTAACTTGGCACAAGGTGCCTCCCCATCCCCAAAAAAAGTTGGGGGCAAGAGGAAACCTAATACAGCTTCACAAAGGGGCAAGAGAGGGAAATCCAACAGAAAACATAAGGCCATGAGTGACCAGACACAAACTTTCAGAACCCTTAAGATATCTTGAAAGGTAAATGCAACTAACTCTCCAAATCAACTAATAACTATATAAAAACTTAGTAAAAAAAGAAAAAAAAAAAAAGACCACACGACTGCTGGTTGAGCAGTAACCATGGAAGAGGAACTCACTGGCCCAAATTCTATAGTACTATGCACCATGAAGATAACGGAAAATTCATGTTCTATATAGTCCATTAAATAATTGGGGTGGGGACAGGGAAGAGGGAAACTGGGGAGGAGGGTGGAGGAGTGTGGATACTGCTGCTCCTTAAAAACAAAGAAACCAGTAAAGCTATGCTAAAGTACCAGGTGAGGGAATAACACAGAACAGGCCAATGGAAAGCAATCAGATGTTTAAATAAGACCTGCCAAGACACGGACCTGCTCCAGACTGTGGGGTGGGTAGAACTATTGCTCATAATCCCTCACCTCTCCTTGTACTCACACCTTTCCCAGGTCACTCTGTAGTCCCTCCCACTGTAGACAGTGGACTTCTGACTCCTCAACACAGGCTCAGTCATATGACTTGCTCTGGCCAATAGGAGCTTGGTGAACTGTGCCCTTTATAGCTCACCCATAACCACAAAACTCTGCCCTTGCGTATCAGAAGCCTCATTCTGGGCCCAGAAATGAACACAGGTGTGACAGACCTATGCTCGACCTGTATCAAGGAGCCAATCCTGGTTCAAGTGCAGTGTAGACTCACCAAACTGAGACCACACAGCTCCGTCAGTTCAACAGAAGCACAAGCCAGAGTGACTGCTGCTGTGAGCAGCAGTCTGGCTTATTTGTTACACAGCCTTGAGGCAACTGCTAACTGATACAGATGGCTTCCTCAAAGAAAATCCACGAAAGATAGCTTTTCTTCCAAGTTCATAAAGAAATCACGTTAACTCACCAGGGTCACCTCCTTTCTTCTTTGAACCAGACTTCTTTGCAGAAGCCACTTGCTTCGGTGCCTCCTGGCTCTGGATCACATCTGCATTTTTGCCCTGGTTAGGAGCTGATTCTGCCTTTTTACCCTGATTGGCAGATGCATCCTTTTTGCCCTGGTTGGGGGATCCTTCTGACTTTTTGCCCTGGTTTGGGGTTCCCTCTGCCTTTTTGCCTTGATTGGAGGCCTTCTCTGTTTTTTTGCCCTGGTTCTGGGCCCCCTCTGCCTTTGTGCCTTGATTAGCAACTGAATCAGCCTTTTTGCCCTGGTTCTGACCCCCCTCTGCCTTTTTGCCCTGGTTCTGACCCCCCTCTGCCTTTTTGCCTTGGTTCTGGGCTACCTCTGCCTTTTTGCCTTGGTTCTGTCCCCCCTCTGCCTTTTTGCCCTGGTTCTGTCCCCCCTCTGCCTTTTTGCCCTGGCTCTGGCCCCCCTCCGCCTTTTTGCCCTGGTTAGGGCTCCCCTCTGCCTTTTTGCCTTGGTTCTGGGCTCCCTCTACTTTTTTGCCCTGGTTCTGGGCACCCTCCGCCTTTTTGCCTTGGTTCTGGGCCCCCTCTGCCTTTTTGCCCTGGTTCTGGGCCCCCTCTACTTTTTTACCCTGGTTCTGGGCAGCCTCTGCCTTTTTGCCCTGGTTCTGGGCCCCCTCTACTTTTTTACCCTGGTTCTGGGCTCCCTCTGCCTTTTTACCCTGGTTCTGGGCTCCCTCTGCCTTTTTACCCTGGTTCTGGGCTCCCTCTGCCTTTTTGCCCTGGCTCTGGCCCCCCTCTGACTTTTTGCCCTGGTTAGGGCTCCCCTCTGCCTTTTTACCCTGGTTCTGGGCCCCCTCTACTTTTTTGCCCTGGTTCTGGGCCCCCTCTGCCTTTTTGCCCTGGTTCTGTGTCCCTTCTCCCTTTTTGCCCTGGTTCTGGCCCCCCTCTGCTTTTTTGCCCTGGTTGGGGGTCCCCTCTGCCTTTTTGCCCTGGTTCTGGCCCCCCTCTGCCTTTTTGCCCTGGTTGGGGGTCCCTTCTGCCTTTTTGCCCTGGTTCTGACCCCCCTCTGCCTTTTTGCCCTGGTTGGGGGTCCCCTCTGCCTTTTTGCCCTGGTTCTGACCCCCATCTGCCTTTTTGCCCTGGTTGGGGGTCCCCTCTGACTTTTTGCCCTGGTTCTGGGCAGCCTCTGCCTTTTTGCCCTGGTTCTGGGCCCCCTCTACTTTTTTACCCTGATTCTGGGCCCCCTCTGTCTTTTTCCCTTGATTCTGGGCCCCCTCTGCCTTTTTGCCCTGGTTTTGGGCAGCCTCTGCCTTTTTGCCCTGGTTCTGGGTCCCCTCTGCTTTTTTGCCCTGGTTGGGAGTTCCCTCTGCCTTTTTGCCCTGATTCTGGCCCCCTTCTCCCTTTTTGCCCTGATTCTGGGCTCCCTCTGCCTTTTTGCCCTGGTTTTGGGCAGCCTCTGCCTTTTTGCCCGGGTTCTGGGCACCATCTGCCTTTCTGCCTTGTGCAATGGCTGGGGTACCCTTGGCACCCACTGGGGGCACAACCACCATAGGTACTTCCTTGGGAGCGGTTTCCAAGATGGCAGCTTTGGAGGCAAGAACCTGGATGGAATTTACTACAGAACTGACTGCTGGTTCCACCTTTGCCACTTTTTTCTCCTTCTTCTTCTTGTCTTTAGGGGAAGAGGCCAGCTTCTCTTGGGGCATGGCTGGTACTGTGGCTACAGGGGCGATGACCGCAGAGGGCTGGACTTGGGTTGGAGCCACAGCTGCGGCAGGTACCCGCACTGCGTCTTTGAGGAGGATGGTCACGTTGGGGGTTGACTCATGATCAGGTATCTTCCCATTTGGTTTCTCTTCCTTTTTCTTGGTCTTTCCTTTCTTTTCCACTGTCTTCTCCTTCTTTTTCTTTTCTACTTTCTGGTGGTGAGTTTTTGCCATCTCCTTGCGCTGGTTGGCTAGGGCTTCCTCATACGATGTCTCCTTCATGGAGAAGGTAGACACCAGGAAGATGCCAATGGCAGAAACAACCATGAATCCACCAAAGACCACAACTCCCAAGGTTTGAGTGTCGTAAATATCCATCCTGGCGTGCTTTTATTTCACCTGCCAAAACATACATGTAGATTATGTTTTGTAGAAATTTAGGCTTCTGATAATTTCTATCCTCACCCCCTCCATCAAACTTAGGGCCTCACCAATTCCTCAGACTAATAAAGTGAAGGCAAAACAAACCCAGGCAAACTCAGATATCATGCATTCTTACCTGTGCCTCTTTAGAAGTTAACAATTTTTACACAAGATGTGAACAATCCATATTTAAGCCAGGTCATACAAAGCAATAGAGAGATGGCAAAGCATAGGTCTGTAACTGGAATATATACAACCCACTATCCCAATTCAATCCACCGCAGAGGCCAAAGACACACATGAGCACAAGCACGGACAGGTGTGAGACAATGGGGAATGGTCAAGACTGTGGTAAAAATGCCCCACTAAATTAGGAAGCAGATGTTCCCCAGGCATACATGATTGATATAGCAATATGAGCATACTGAAGGATCTTTTACTTTTTCGTGTTAGGCCAAAAATCTTTTTTCTCAATGTGAAACTGATTGATTTTGAAAATGCCATGAGCCAAACCAAACACATCTGCAGTTTTTTGGCCACATTCATTATGGCCAGCAGGCCCCTGATATGACTTCTCTATCCTGCTGACTCCCTCTTTCCCAGTGCTGATAAACACAACTATCCAAAGAAGCCAACCTTTGCCTTACAATGCTACGACGTGATAGAGGACTTGGTGAGAAAACTGGCTTTTTGCCAGGGATAGCTACTGAAGAGTTATGGAAAGAACCTGCTGCCTGCACACTGGGAAACAGGAAGCATCAGTCTTAGGAACTCCACCAAGGCAAAGACTTCAGGTTAGAATTTTACATCCACAGACTGCGAGGAAGAGGAGGGTGGTATCACCAGGACAAATTCTTGCCTGAGGAGGGCACCCTTAGTCTGATGACACACTCTAAGAGGATGAAGCACCCCTGCCCACCTCAACGGACCAAAGTCCAAAGGGTCAGCAGCAGCCACACCTTCCTGGTTCTTCAGTGAGGAACTGTAAGATGTTTATTTGGATACACTCAACTTTTAGCAACTAATTTTTATGTTTTATTACATTCTCAATGCGTTAAACTACAGAGTGAAAAAAAGCCTCACCCCACTAAAGAGGCTGAACAATGGAATTAGCGAACCAAACACTAGCATAAGGAGGGTAAGGGCAAGTGGAAGGGGAAGTGAAGGGAGAAAGGTGAATGATTACCCCCTAAAATCTCTGGGCAAAATGATAGGCTGGGTCCAGGCTTATCAATGACTTAGAAGTTAAGGCTCCTTTTTGAGTAGGAATGAAGGGAAAGAGTGGAAATTTCTAAATAATCATGAAATCCAAATCTTGACCTCAGTGCATTTTAAAGGGACTGAGAAAAGAAATTGTTTTAAAGGTCTTAGCATTATGTTCTCAGAAAAGTCACTGCTAATGCAGAACAAGCACATGAATTCACTGTGCCTTTTTAATGAAACCCTTGCAGGAAAAGGGCTTAATAAACTCATGACAAACACTTCATAGCACATGCTTTCCACAGAAGTAACACCAGCCAGCTGCAGCAGTAACATTTCCCCTAAACTACTGTCCCGTGGTTTGCAGGCCATAACTCTGCAAAGTCTGACATGGGCTCATGAAGTCTTCAAATGCTGAGCAAGTGGATTTTGACCTCTGGCCTCGGGTATTGACTGTGTGATCCCCCTGTCAGGTTCCCTCATGTATGACAGCCATGAGAAGCGCTCCCAAATCTGCCTTTCAGGAACATTCAATAGCTAGCTGTTGAAAAGGAACTAGCCTGCTGAGCCCTGGAGAGCTCCCAGTGATTGGGAGGGCAGAGACAAGAAGGCCTGAAACATTCTATGGTCAACCTCTCTATCTTGGTGGGCATCCACCAACTAAAACTATGTTCGGTCTATTCAGAAGACAACAATCCTCTGAAATACACCCCTTCTCCGGAGGCAGCAGATCTACAGGGGCCTGGTTACCCTGGCCAAAGCTCTCCAAGGCCCAGATGAGTTCCCAAAGATGTGTTCCGGGATGTCTCTGGTGGAGCTGTGGAGTCACAAGGCAGTCTGTTCCTCAGCAAGTGCTGTAGGCATTGGGTAGCCTCCTGGTGATGGCACAAAAGCCAAAGGTGAGGGTCTCCCCGGTGGCGAGAAGGGGCTAAGACGCAACCTATGAAGCTATCTGCAGTCTCTACAGCACAAATTTGATCCCCGGCCGGCTAGACAGCTACCCACGTGGCGCAGCAGACCTCTCCTGGCTCGCCCACTGCTCTCCTCAGCAGTGTATTTCAGTCAATCTGCCTGTTCTGTTCCCCACTCTGTCTCTGGTGAATCCTCTTACCCTCCCGTACCTCTGGCCTATACCCCAGCTCTTGTATGCATAAATAAATAAATCTTTGGGGGGGGGGGAAGCCAAGGTTGAAAAGTTAGCTTTGCTTCTTACTCACAAACATGGAATACGAAAGTAGAGCCCCACTGGAAGCACAAAATTGAGAAAAGCAAACTTTGGTGGATATTTTTCCTCTGCAGCTCATGCAACTCCATGTTTGAAAGGAGCATAAATGTGTCTTCCCAACTTAGGTAGAACAGGTTGCTCTAAAAAGAAATGATATCCTCACCACTAATTTCTGAGTTAGACTATCTTTGAAAGAATTCTTTCACAGAAAAATGAAACACCCTAGTCTCAAGTAGTAATACACTAAGATTTTTTAAGACTATAAGATCTTATCACTGGAGCAGCAGAGAAATCTAAGTGACAGACAGCCTTCCTGTTCTGTAGTCAGCCTGATGGGGCAGAAACATCATGAAGAAATCCCTGATTCCCAGGGACAATAAAGCCAATGCTTGCTGCTTACCAACTGTGCTCAAGTTTAACATTCTGGGTGCTTTGCTTCTGAAACCCCCATAAAATTAGCCCCAGCTGGAATTTCCCTAAGGGTTTTCCCCAAAAGGGAAAAGAATGAGACCAGATGGGTGCCCACCCATATCCTATATGGTCTGACCACAAAGACCTACATTGTATCAATTCCAGAAACTTTTTTTTTAAAGATTCATTTATTTTTATTTATACAAGCACTGGGTACAGTCAGAAACGCAGGAGGGTGAGAGGATTCACCAGAGACAGAGCAGGGAACAGAACAGGCAGACTGACGAAATACACTGCTGAGGGGAGCAGCGGGCGTGGCAGGAGAGGTCTGTTGCGCCATGTGGGACCCTCTCCCGTGGCCGGGGATCAAACCGGTGCTGCAGAGGCTGTGGGCAGCTTCGCAGCCCAGCGCACAACCACTGCACCACCGGGGAGGCCTTCCAGAAACTTTTAAGAAACATGAATTTTTATTTATTTATTTAAGATGTTTCATTGATTTATTTATTTGTTTGTTTGTTTGTTTGTTTATGCAAGCACTGGGTACAGTCAGAAGTGCGGGAGGGTGAGAGAATTCACCAGAGCCAGAGCAGGGAGCAGAGCAGGCAGAAGGACCGAAGTACCCTGCTGAGGGGAGCAGCGGGAGGCAGGAGAGGTCTGTGTGCCATGTGGGACCCTCCTCCAGTGGCCAGGGAGCAGCCAGGGATCAAACCGGCGCTGCAGAGGCTGCAGGCAGCTTCGCAACCCAGCGCTCAACTGCTGCGCCACTGGGGAGGCCCTTTTTTATTATTTTTTTAAAGATTTATTTATTTATGCATACAAGAACTGGGGTACAGGCCAGAGGTGGGGGGGTGGTGGTGGTGGTGAGAGGATTCACCAGAGACAGAGTGGGGAACAGAACAGGCAGATCGACTGAAACACACTGCTGAGGGGAGCAGCGAGTGAGTAAGGAAAAGTCTGATGCACCATGTGGGTAGCTCCCTGGCCGGGGATCAAACTTGTGCTGCAGTGGCTGGGGATAGCTTCATAGGTTGTGTCTTAACCTGTTGTGCCACCAGGTACTACTGCAAGTATGTTCAGAGTGTCAAGCAAAAAGGTGAACCTTTTCCTCTCCCTCATACACGCCCACAAGAGAAGGAAGCCTGTAGCCACCCAGAGGTTTGGGCACCACTCCCAAGTTTGGCTGGCTGACTACTCACTGACCCATCTCAAGGGTCCTTTGAGTGGCTTTTCTTCTGTTCCTAGGGGGTAAGGATTCAGGAACAAAAATAAGTGAAGTCCCAAATTCTTTAGACATGAAATACATTTGCTAACTCATTGAGACCAACTAGTTGCTTCTAATGTGGCACTGTGAAAGGACCCTCAACAGTACCCCTGGGGCTGGCTGCGTCTCACCCTAACCAGCTGCTATGCCATGGCCATGTGTGGGTACTCAGAGAATCCCTAGGACAGACCATCTCCTGGGGGAGGGCAGGTGCTTAAGGGGGGAGGTGGGGAGAGGTGTCAAAGAAAACGAGCCTCCAGATACATTTCCTAGGAGACCAAGGTGCCCTATCAGGAAGATGTAAAACTAAAATCCAACCAGAATGAAATAGAGAACCTAGAGACACAGGTGGATCCAGATTTCTCGTTCCTTATTTTAAAGAATATTATGAAGTATTTTTAATAAAGGAAAATATCAGGACCATCCACTTAACTACCTATCAGACTTACCAAATCCAGTATTTGACCGCATAAATGCTTAAAACAGATACTTAAAACACACACACATAAATATATTATTTATATATCTATCTTATATATCCTTCTGGAGACCAGTATCTGGAATGTATGATTTAGCACCTCCATGGGTGTTTATGCACACGTGTGTTTCCACAAACAAACAGTTATTTGAGAGTTAGTACATGCTCTACACTACTATTAGAGGTATTGGACAACATTTTTAAAATTAAACTTCATTTTTGAGATTTCTTCACATAAATACACTTAGCTATAGTTCATTTTAATTCCTATGTCGTGACCACAAATGGAAATGGACTCACACTCCCATAACAGGCATTTACATTTCAAAATTTTATGCTATTCATACAGAACTATAGTGTGACATGCCTCCCAGTTTGCCTTTGCAGATTTTCTAGATGCC